TGTTTCTTTCATATTTTGGTCGAGTTAAATCGAGCATGTCCCTCTACAGGAGGAGTATCCAAAAATAGTCAAACAATAGTCTGGGGACGTTTTTCGAATATTTTTGATTCTTGCTTGCACATTTTCAAGCTATTGTTCTTCATTTTTCTTTGATACCCCCCCTGTAGGGGGGACACACCCGACCTGATGATAGGACGATCCTCTTCGGTCGAAGTTCTCCTCCTCTCCTTTCCGACTCTTGGTCCCTTCCCATCTCTCCCACTCCGGCTCCGACTCCGACTCCGCATGGGACACGCGCCTTCGTTCAGCACGTGCAATGAACGGGCCCCGGCCCACCCGCGCTGCCCCCAAGGGGCCTGCTGGCCGACCGGCCGGCGGACTCGGCGCGTTCCTTCTTCCAGGAGGGGAAAACACACAGACATAATTCATCGTCGAGCCCCAGAAGATATGGGAAGATATGGGAAGTAGGGGGGGGGAAGACAAAAGCCCAGAAAATAGGGGACAGCACGGGGAATCCTGTTATCTGTGTGTATTTCTTTGTGTGTCCTTGGGCCCCTGGAATCTTCCTGCTGCCGCTCTGGCCGCAGGACCCCTTCTTCCTTCTTCCTTCTTCTTCCTTCTTCCTTCTTCCTTCTTCCTTCCTTCTTCCTTCTTCCTTCTTCCTTCTTCCTTCTTCCTTCTTCCTTCTTCCTCCTTCCTTCTTCCTTCTTCCTTCTTCCTTCTTCCTGCTGCCACTCTGGCCGCAGGACCCCTGGGCGTGCTACCGCGGCCTGGTGCCCGTCTGGGCGCGCACGGCCGCGTGGGTGCACTGCTGCGGCGGCTCCGGCAGGCTCGCCGCGAAGGCCGCCGCTCGCCCCCCCTCAGGAGGGACAAAAACAGACAGACATATTTAATCGTCGACTTACATGAAAATATAAGAAAATATGGGCAGGGGGGGGAGACGAAAACCCAGAACATGTTTTTTTTGGTGTGTATTTATTTGTGTGTCCTTGGGTCCCTCGCCCCCCCACCCAACATCTTTGCACCGGGCGCGTCCCTCTGCAGGAGGACTCCCTTCAAAATAGTAAAAAAAAGTAGCCCAGGGACGATTGCTCGACTATTTTGGGTGATTTTTGGATAGGTTCTGGCTTTTTTATAGGTTTTTCCAACATCCCCCCTGTAGGAGGACATGCCTGGCCTAGGCCAAAATTCAAGAGGCTCTCTTCTGGGATCTGGGATTTACGAATCGTATTGCCCAGACCCCCGACGTCATGATTTTTTCACGACGTCGACCCCCAGAGGTCCAGACCCCTTCCCCGGGACCGGTTTTGCATCCTGAGTCGTTTTTTGACGCTCCCGAGGCCCGGTGAGGGGCCCCAGAGGCCGAAAATTCGGAAAAACCTCCCGTCGTGATTTTTTCATGACTCGAGGGGGTCTGGGTGCGCAGAGACCCCCCGCACGGTCCTACACGCCGGCGCATCGACGCGGTGCCCTTGTGAGGGGCTGCGGCCCCGGCGCCGTCCTGCGCCGTAGGCGCTCCCCGCATGCGCGTGGAGCGGCGTCGGCGCCCGTCCCGCCCCGTCCCCCCGCCCGGCCTTCTTTTCCTGCCCGACGAGAGGGAGGGGGCCCCAGGTGGTACCCAGAGATCCAACGTATTGAAAAAATCACGACGGAGGTTTTTCGCAAATTTCGGCCCCTCGGGGCCCTCGCCAGGCCTCGGGACCGCCCGGCCTTCTTTTCCTGCCCCAGACATGCTTGCGTCGTAAAAAGTTCAGGACGGAGGTTTTTCGTCGTTTTCGGGCTCTGGAGGCCTTCGCTGGGCCTCGGGGCCGTCAAAAACCGACTCAGGATGAAAAACCGGCCCCGGGGAAAGGGTCGGGACTTCCGGGGGCGCCGTCCTGAAAAAATCAGGACGTCGCATGTCTGGGGCCCGACGAGAGGGAGGGGGAACCAGGTGGTACGAAAGCTGCTGGACGCAGCCGGTCTCGGCCACGCCGCCGGCGCTTCTCTCGATGCCTTGGCGCCTCCGGCGCCTGCAGGCGCAGGGAACGCCGGCTGCGTGAGCTGCTTCGCCAACCCTTCCCCCAGCCCCACTTTCGGGCCCGACGAGAGGGAGGGGGAACCAGGTGGTACGAAAGCTGCTGCACGCAGCCGGTTTCGGCCACGCCGCCGGCGCTTCTCTCGATACGTTGGCGCTTCCGGCGCCTGCAGGCGCAGGGGAAGCCGGCCACGTAAGCTGATTGGCTACTGCGACCAAACGAGTGCGGAATGCGCCGATTGGGTCGCAGCGCTCCTCTGGCAAGTGGACGAGCAAAAGGATAGTCCCAGTTCGTCGTCGCCGTCGTCGCCGTCCAGGCCGCCAGGCCGCAGCCAGCGCCCCACACGAGAGTTAACTATTTCGATCGTCCCTGCCTGGTTTGTTTTTGATCGCCTGGTCTTATTCGCCCGCCGCTTTGCTATCCCCGCTTGGCCCCCTGCGAAATCAATCGCGCCACGTAGGTTGTATCACATAGCTTGCGCCCCACAGGTAGATTGCACCGTGCAGGTTGCACCCCACAGGTTGTACCGCAGAGGTTGCACCCTACAGGCTGCACCCCACAGGTTGCACCACCTAGCTTACCTCACATATCTAGCACACACCCAAGATAGCATCGCATGGGTTGCACCACTCGGGGGGCACCGCACATATAATATGTGCGGTGCCACTCGCGTGGTGTTGGGAGGATGGGATTGTGGGAATGGATTATTTCATTTGTATTATCGCGTATGTTGAAGGTACTTGTTAGACTGGCATGTGCATTGGCATTAGCCGTCGCATCCTCCAACCCCCCTACAGCTTGAATTGCGGGTCGATTGCGCTGGTACTGCTGCTTGAAGTTGGGTTGGCCCTTCGCTTTCATATCGCTGGAAGCGACGTTCCCCCTCATCGCATTCACGCTTCTCTCCTTCATCGTCAGCGGTTCCTCCTGAGGAACCCTGTTCTGCGCGTCACTGGCCGGGGCTTTATGGTTTGGAATTACCTTTGGGGTCCGATCGGCAGCGATACTGCACCGCCTGTGCCAACGACTCGTGCAGAAGTCATGGCGCAACCCATGCAGGACGCAAGCGGACCAACGCAGCAGTGATTCCGTATCGCGTACGGCACGCAATACGGAGTTCATTACTTTGTCCGTAGCAGGAACGGAACGCAATACGGAACCTGCTGCGGTCTCGCGACCCCCAAACCATTGTCTGAGCAAGAGGAAAATTCACGGGTGAATTCCGTATCAGCAACGGATCGCAAGTTACGGAGCCCGATGCGGCATTGACTATTCTTTGGGCAATTGCCAGATCCCGCCGGCATTGCTCATGCCCTTGGTCCACCTCCAGTGTTCGCCGCGTCGCTTCGACACCTGAGATGGTCCAAGATGGCTCTGATAGGGCCCAGGACATACAAGAGGGCTCTTGGACGGCCTCACCGAAGGCCTCGGCCGGGCGCCAAGAGGGCCCCGAGAGGGCCACGAATTAGGCTGCAGGGTGCAACCCGCTTCTTAGGAAGCATGCGCGGTGTTGAACGGATTGGCGGCCCATGCGCTGTGGTGACAACACGTTTCCCCTTCGCTAGACGTAGGCGGCCGAAGATATCGTTCATTGCATCCGGATGCTTTTGCTCGTACCTTGCACTCTCCCAACCCCGTCCTCCCAGCACGATAACTGTCTTCCTCAATATTGCCCCAAGTAGGGATGCACAGCGAAAGTTGAATAGCCCATTGCTCGGGGTCCACGCTGGCAACACACAGCCCATGCGCGTCATTGCATTTGTGAGCCCACGCTCTCGAGTTCAATTTGAGTTCATGTTTTTGTGCCCAGCTCGATGAGAGTAGTCGCGTTAGTATCGCAGGCCTAGAGGTTGACACCACCACCAATATCGGCGGTGTGCCTCCACCGCGGGAAGAAGGTTCCGATCTCGGTGATGGTGGTCATATTCTGGCTTCCAAGGTAACCGACATATTACCACCAACACCTAAATCTAGTATCGTCTTCCCCCTTTTGATGCACCCCCCTTTACTGGTGTTGGTGCCAACGTCCAGTCCTCCAATAGTATCTCGCATCTGTTTGCCTGTCCATGGTGGCGTTCGGCAGTCTTTCGTTTGCCTTCCGCGACTTGCTTTTCGGGCGCTGCTTGCCTCAGGCTCGGTTCGGGCCTGCCCTGGAGCAACACGGCCTGGTCTTGCATGCGATCCGTCAGCTTACGACCCGCTGCTAATGCAACGTTGTGGACGAGGAGGAGGAGGAGGAGGAGGAGGAGGAGGAGGAGGAGAACGAGGAGGAGGAGGAGGAGGAGGAGGAGGAGAACAAGGAGGAGGAGGAGGAAGAGGAGGAGAACAAGGAGGAGGAGGAGGAGGCGGAGGAGGAGGAGGAGGAGGAAAAGGAGGAGGAGGAGGAAGACGAGGAGGAGCGGGAGGAAGAGGAGGAGGAGGAGGAGGAGGAGGAGCGCACGTGTTTGCGATGGCCTCGGCATACCGAGGCCGGCACACGCCCGACTGCAGATTGGCTCGTGCGTTGCGCAGGCATCAGCCGCTGCTGTGGTTCACATCGCCAGCGGAGGAGCACCGCTGTGCGTTTCCGACGTGCTCGAATGGTCAGGGCTCATGTCGACTCCTCCGATTCGATTCGATAACCGATTTCGATGGCCCCCGATTCCGATTCGATTCGTTTGCGGATTTCGATACGGATTCCGATTTCTCTTCGGAGGCCTGCACGCCTGTCGATTTCCGCCGACTCGACTTCTCCCGACTCGGCTGCCGATTTCCGCCGATCCGATTCATTTCGATCGCCGATCCGACTTGTCGATTCGATTTTGGGCTCTCTTGATGTTTGGCTGCAGAGGTCCAGACCATGTTCGGTTAGTCCAGGCTGGGTTTGGTGGCATCAGGCTGCGCAGCATGCCGAATTCGTATCGGTTCTCTGCGGCGCGAACGAATATGGGGTCCCACGCGCTGGCATCATAGCGTTCGTCCAGTCTGTCGCGACACAGTGCTGTCTTTCCCGCGGCTTATGAGCTTCCAGCCTTGTGCAGGTCATGTTGGCCCCTTGCCCGGAGATGCAGTGCTGCTCCGTTCGGCCGCTGTCAGCCGACTTCAAGAGGTCTGCCGTCATGCTTCTCTGGGATGGTGGTTATTTCTAGACGTTGCACGGTCAGTTGCACACGATGGCAGTTTCACACGTTGCACGGTCACGGTTCCCGATGAAGCAACCCACCAAGTATTGAATATTTGTTCGTGTTCTCGCCAGGTGATTCGGGAATTTCTGGGCTCCGAGATGTTTCCTCGCGGTCGGGGTGGCAGGGATAATTGGGGGCAGGGCTCCTGGAGCCTCCAGGGGGGAGGAAGCCCCCCCCCACCCCCCCGTGGACGTCCCGCTTTTGCGACCCTCCCCCTCCGTGGAAGGGATTTAAGGGAAGAGGCTTCCCGTCACCCTTCGACGCGTTGTGAGCTCGAGCAGCCCCCGAAGTCGAAAGGGGGAACCTCTGCGAGAGGCGTCTCACGCAGTTCTCGATGCCGAGGCGTGGATGATCCTCAATAGAGTTCCTCCCCTCTGATCTCGCTCTCTCTTCTCTCTCTCTTGCTCTCTCTCTCTCTCTGTATGTATACATGCACATACAGTGTGTATACATGTACCTCTCGGTGCGGATAGTGTGCATGTATCCGTTGACCCAGATGTGGCATCACATGCCGACTTGACGTGGGCTCCAGGCCTCGATGTAGCTGTGAGCGGTGATTGGGATTCTGGTCCCCTTGACCGGTGGCGGATTTCAGATATAGCTCTTGAGACATGCGCAGTTCGTCGTGGATACGTGCACCTTCGGTTTCATGCGTCGTCGTCCGTTGGCGAGGGAGGGCGGCTTCAAAGTTTTTTTCCGCGGCGCTGCTCTCTTACTCTTCTTCATCCTGCTCCCGCTCTCTTCCTCCATTGTACTCCCTTCTCCGCGCTGGGGAGGAGAGGGTGGGCCTGGAAGTAAGCAGTCTTAGGAGCAAGGGTGGAGATGAGGACGGCGAGAAGGTGAGGAAGGGCATGGCTCATGATGATGGTGGTGGTGATGCTGCTGACGATGACGACGATGATGATGATGATGACGTTGATGATGCTGATGATGATGATGCTGATGATGATGCGATTGATGATGATGATGATGCTGATGCTGATGATGATGATGATGCTGATGATGATGATGCTGATGATGATGATGATGCTGCTGCTGATGATGATGATGCGATTGGTGATGCTGGTGGTGGCGATGATGCTGCTGCTGATGACGATGATGATGCCGATGATGTTGATGATGATGCAGATTGTGACGACGTCGATGATGCTGCTGTTCTTGATGATGCTGCCGATGCTGATTATGCTGATGATCATGCTGTTGATGTTGATAAGGATGCTCAGGGTGATGGCGATGATGATTCTACGATAACTATGATGGTGCTGATGCTGATGCGGATCATCATGATGCTGTTGGTGACGTTGTTGCCTCTGATGATGCTGCTGCTGATTAGGAGGATGACATGGGTGATACTGATGATGATGACGATGCTGATGATGATGATGATGATGATGATGATGATGATGCTGATGATGCAGATGATCTCGATGATGATGGTAATGATGACGCTGATGACGATGGTGATGCTGATGACGATGCTGATGCCGATGATGCTGCTGCTGATGATGATGATGATTCTGCCGCTGCTGCTGCTGCTGACGCTGCTGATGAGGATGATGATGCTGATTATGATGATGAAGCTGCTGATGATGATGCTGATGCTGATGATGATGCAGCTGATGATGCTGATTATGATTATGCTGATGATGATGCTGATGATGATTGTGGTGGTGGTGGTGAGGAGCAGGGCGGAGAGAGGGGGGGCAAGGGCGAGCTGGGTGCGCTCGCGCCATATCTGACGTTCTATCCCTCCCTCCCATCCCTTCCCACTGCGCTGATGTGTGTTCTCTATCCGCGGACGCGTGCCGTAGCCGACCTGGAGCTACACGACAACCCATCGTTTTACGCGTAATCGGAAAAGGTGGAGCTGCGTACAGAGGAGGAGGAGGAGGAGGAGGAGGAGGAGGAGGAGGAGGAGGAGGAGGGGGAGGCGGCGGGGGAGCAGGACGATGATGGTGAGGACAAGGAGAGGATGAGGAAGGAGAACGAGAACGATCAACAGCAGCAGGAATTGGATTGGAAGGAGCGGGGGAAACAGGAGGACCAGGGGAAGGCGGTGGAGGGGAAACGAGGGGGGCGACAACGATGAACAACGTACTTGGATCCAGGAACGTGGCCCGCGCTGGGGCGAGAGCGCCAATTTGAACGACTGGAGCACATCGCCGAGCCAAACACCAGGCCCACGCTACAGCTGGAGCACCATATTGAAGAACCGAAAAATAACCAGACGGTAAAAAGCACATGCGGAAGAGAAAGAGTGCGCGGAGAGGGCCGAGCATTTTGAGCACAGGGTCAGGGGAGAACGTAGAGTCGGATTCATAATGGGTGCACATTGTTTATTGCTAATTCTTCGACCCTGCTATTTCTATCAGTTCTAATTGTTCTATCCTGGGCCTCTTCCCGGCCACTTGGGGGCCAGGAACAATTAGAAGCGAGCACAGTTAGAAATGAGCACGATTAGAAGTGAACGACGTGCAATTGTAGAGGAGTGGTGGGAGGGAGGCGGGAGGAGTGAGGGAGGGGGAGAGGGCGCGGAAGGGAGAGTCGGAGTGGGGGTGAGGCCTTGGGCGATCGGGCGCTCTTGAGGCTCCCCCCCTGGCCAGGTCCCCCCTGCCATCCCTCGCTGGCACTTATTCGAAGACGTCGAGGGAGGGCCAGAGGGCTCCGATGCAACCGCAGGGCGGGCCTCTGGGGATCGATCGTGCCATGGCGGCCCCGAGGCGACGATAGGGTGGATCTCTGGCGATCCATCACTCCATCTCTCCTCCCCCTCCTCCTCCTCCTCCTCCTCCTCCTCCTCCTCCTCCTCCTCCTCCTCCCCCTCCTCCTTCTCGTCTTCCCCCTCCTCCTCCTCCTCCTCCTCCTCCTTCTCCTCCTCCTCCTCTGACGGCGTCAGGTCTGGAAGGTCGCCTCGCGCAGGGCGCCCTTTCTCCCAGTGGATACACTGGCCCCGCCGAGCAGTGCACGGCGCACGCCGGGTTTCCCCCCCCACACAGTCGACGGCCGGTCCGCAGCGGACGCCCGCGACCAGGAAGTGAGGCACTCTTCCCGCGCGCAGGCGAGCCCCATGGCAGGCAGAGAAGGGGAGGGAAGGGCTTCGGCTCCTACCCTCCTCCTCCTCCTCCTCCTCCTCCTCCTCCTTCTCGTCCTCCTTCTCTTTTCGTTTGGTCCCCCCTCTTCTTCCTCCTCCTCTTCCCCCTCCTCCCCTCCTCCTCCTCCTCCTCCTCCTCCTCCTCCTCCTCCTCATCGTGCGCTTCTCCACCGGCGTCCTTCGCGGACCGGGCGCACCGAGTCCGCGGCGCTGCCGCCCTCCTGAGCCACCCCGACCACACAGCGTCTGACGATCTGCCGTGGAAGACGGAGATGGGGAGGGCGAGTGGGAAGGGAGGGGGGGGGGGGCGGTGCAAGATGACTCAGCTCCACCCTGAGCTGCCAGCACCCGCCCCCTCCCGGCGGCACCGGCAGCGCCTACAGGGCCGCAGGCGCAGCGCGGCCCGCCGGCCCGCCTGGCCGCCCCCTTTGCCCGCTCCGCGGGGAAGGGTAGGGAGCTGGGCAAATACACACTGCTCACTTCCAATTCTTCGAGAGGTCTTTGATGTTTTTTGGGCCAAGATCCCGTCTGTTCTGATTCTTCTGCCCTGGGCCTCCTCCTGGCCACTGGGGGGCCAGGAACAGCTAGAAACGAGCACACTGAGAAACGAGCGACGTGCAGAAAGGAACGACGTGTAGGAAGATACTCAAAGGGACCGGTCACGCCATATGGTTTGCCGTGACCAGCCTGGGCGAGGGCTGCTAGGGGGCCAGGAACAGTTAGAGACGAGCACACTTAGAAACGAGCGACGTGCAGAAAGGAACAACGCTTAGGCAGATACTCAAAGGGACCGGTCACGCCATACGGTTTGCCGTGGCCAGCCTCGGAGAGGGCCGGAGTGGGCGCGTGGCCGCGCGGCTTCCCGGCCCTCGGCCCTCGCGTGGCCGTGCACCGCGATCCTCCACGTGCGGCTCCGGCCAGGGGCCTCCGCAGGTTGCGCGCAGGGCTCCAGCCATGTGTGTGTGTGTGTGTGTGCGCGTGTGCGCGTGTGCGTGCGTGTGTGTGTGTGTGTGTGTGTGTGTGCGTGTGTGCGTGTGTGCGTGTGTGCGTGTGTGCGTGTGTGTGTGTGTGTGTGCGTGTGTGCGTGTGTGCGTGTGTGCGTGTGTGTGTGTGTCCAGCTTCCTGGTGTATTCACCGAGCGCGCTCCACTACTTCCAAAATGCCTACTCGCAAACGTCCGAAGAACCATGCGTCTGCCCTTGTGCCATCTATCGTAGATCCCCCACTGCGGATCCATGCCATTTGCGAGCAGCTACTTTGCGCGTAGTGGAACGCGCTCGTCTATGTATAGCTCTCTTCGGCCGCGCCTGGAAGGGTCAGGTTGCAGGCAGAACGTTGGGACGCCTGGATCCGAAAGGGCTCGAGGCTCCCTGGGTCCTCTCTTGGGGTGCTTCTCGGACCAGACGGAGAGCTCCGTTCCCCCATGATGAGGCTCGCAGCGTATTGCAAGTCTTTGTTTGTACTTCTCTACCAGCCTGGAACATATCCCTATCCCTATGCTGGGCATCTCCTCATCACGATGCCAATCTTAGGGATTCCCTCATTTTTTGAGGGCGCATCCCCAAGGTTGTCATCGCCTTTTGGCGTGTCAATCTTAGGGATAAGGATACGTTCGAGGCTGGTGGCTCCTCTTCCCTCAAAAGCCTACCCGCGCAGACTCCGACGCAGCCTGGCTCGAGGGCGCCAGCGCACGGCCCACGGCGCGCGGTGCGCCGCCCGATGCGGTGCTAGGACCCGCCCTTTTCCTTGGCATCGCTCGGTCGTGTGCATTTTTTCTCGGCGAGAACCATCGAGGACCATCCGGGACCATCGAGCAAAAAAAACACGCACGAAACCGAAACATGCACGGGAAATGGACGTCCGAGCGACGGCAAGTTTCCCGAACCCGAAGCGGAGCCAGTCGGTGAGCGGTGTGCGGCTTCCTCCTCCCCTCGGCACCTACGGTCGAGCATCTGATTCAGAAGCCTGCTCTCGAACAGCTTGGCAACCTGCCGGAGAGCTGGCTCAGTGTCTTGAGCACGTTCGCCCTCCAGCGTCGACAACAGAACCTGGCCCAGGTGAGTTTTGAGAGACTTCCGGGGAGCTGGCCCAGATTTCTTGGGTGATGGTTTTCTGGATCATATGTTCGGCTGTGGTATCGAACCCGTCCCCCTCAAGATTGCTGTTTTAATCGCCTCTGCCCGCGCTGCTGGGCCATTCTTGCAGGCGCGCAATCCCTCTTCGCGCGGGCTTTGCGGGGGGGTCGGAGATGGAGGAGAGAGGGGTATTGGGCAGCCTCTGCTGCCATCGGCTGCGCAGTCCAGTGTTGGGGCTCGGCCTCTGGGTTTGGTCCCTGGTCGCGCGAACCCTGGGAGGATCCCTGGGCTTCCTGAGAGGAGGATGCTTTCCTCCTTCTCCTTCATTGCTTGCGCCCGCCGCAGCCATGCTCCCCATCCGCCCCCGGAGGCAAACTGAGAAGAGCTCGGGCAAAGCAGCCATATCTTCAGACCTTCAATGGAAAAGTGAGCAGCGCGTTCGACTTGTACATCCCGCATCGCTGGTCGTATCCGGTGGATGTTATCGACATCCGCACCGTGGTGTGATGCGCCCCCTCCTTTCCTTCTCCAGAGACACACGCACAGGAGCACCAGGTCGACCTATTCCTGCCGCGGCCGGCCTGCCTCTGTCCTCCTCCTCCTCTTCCTCCCCCTCCTCCTCCTCCTCCTCCTCCTCCTCCTCCTCCGCAGATCTCAGACGCCGTGTGTTTGCTGCACCCTGGGCGGGGTGACGGGGGCACTGGCTCTTGCTGGGTTGTGGGCGCACTAAAGTGAGGAGGATTGGGCTGGGCGAGGACTGGGATAAATCGTTCCAGAGCGTTCCAGAACGTTCTCAGAGCGTTCCAGATCGCTCTAGATCGGCGGCGGCGCCGAATACATCCTCCAGAACCGCCAGATCTCGGAAATCCCAGATTTGTGCCAGTCTGATGCCTTCCCAGTCCTGTTTTCGTTTCAGAGGACGAGGAGGAGGAGGAGGAGGAGGAGGAGGAGGAGGAGGGAGGAGGAGGAGGAGGAGGAGGAGGAGGAGGAGGAGGAGGAGGAGGAGTGGAGGAGGAGGAGGAGGAGGAGGAGGAGGAAGGGGAGAGAAGGAGGAGGAGGATGAGAAGGAGGAGGCGGAGGAGGAGGAGGAGGAGGAGAAGGAGGAGGCGGAGGAGGAGGAGGAGGAGGAGGGGGGGGGAGGAGGACGAAGAGGAGGGGGAGGAGGGGGGAGGAGGAGGAGGAGGGAGGAGGAGGAGGAGGAGGAGGAGGAGGAGGAGGAGGAGGAGACAGAGGAGGGGGAGGAGGAGGATGAGGAGGAGGAGGAGGAGGAGGCGGAGGAGGAGGAGGAGGAGGAGGAGGCGAAGGAGGAGGAGGCGGAGCAGGAGGAGGAGGAGGAGGAGGAGGAGGAGTAACAGTAATCATATGGGTAATACTGCGATCAATAAATGATATTCAGAGTATTAAATTTGAACAGCATGATGACTAATAACCATAATGCTAAGAACAAGGCTATGACGAATAAGACGAGTCATCATAATAATGCGAATCGTAGTCGTAATGCTATGAAACACACTATTCATATGAACAATACTGATAATACCATGCAGAAAAAAGGAGGAGGAGAAGGCCGAACGCCTGCCGCTTCTGATCCCATCGTCACCTCCCTGAGGCGCGGGCCGCTTGGCCCTTGCTGAGCCAGCTGGCGGCGTCACGGGGAGGAGAGAGTGGGGGGGCAACGGAGCACACGCATTGGGAGCGCGCTGAGCGTGTCTGCTGGCCAGGCCCCGCGCGAAGAAACGGAGGGAGCTCTAGGGCCAGGACGGTACACTTGACTCGGAGGGCGTCAGCTATGCACATGCACCTATCCTGACCAGGCCGATCCTGGGCCCAGGATAGGTGTATGCCTGCCTTACCAAACCAGGAGGGCATCTACGTCGATCCGTGGCCCAAGATGGCCTGGCCAGAGTCGGTGCAGAAGTGCGGGTTGGCGCCTTCCGCTGTTGGGGGTCCCGGTGCCAGGGGGGGGGACGAGTTCGCCGAATCCAGAGTCGGGAGGCGTAAGCAAATGATTAGCTGCACGGGCACCCGCGCGTAAGCTGCTCGCGGAAGGTTGCGCCCGCGCGTGCCCGCGTTGTCTGCCGCGCCGGCGGCTTTCGGACGACACCGCGCAAGGTCGCCGCGCCGTTGTGCGCGAGTCCCCTCATGTTATTGCGCTGCCCATCAGAGTGCCAGCTGGCCGCATGAGCGAGCATGGTGTGGTCAGCCGTTGCTGCCGCGAGTCAGCAAGAGCGGCTGGCTGCGGCGCTGCCGGCAGGACCGCCGCTGTGGGGCATGGTGGATGCAGCGCTCGGGCAGTCGCAGGCGCTCCCAGCCGGAACCGCAATCTCGGAGCGCCCCCAAACTTCCGGGGCAACGATAGGGGGTGATAGGCATAGGGGGGATGTATCGACCCCCAATTGCCCATTGATCGCCAATAGGGGCCCGATAGCCCCAACCTGCCCAGGAAGGTGGTGCGGATTCACTATCGGAGGCCTATCGCCGATCTATCGACAATGTATCGCCGATTCCAGGTCGATGCATCCCCCCCTATCGTTGCCCCTCAAAATTCCTGAGTGAAACGCTGGCGCCGGGAGGCAAGTGCGGGAGTCCATCGGAGGAGCGGGCTCCACTCCACAAGCATCTTGGAAGCCCAGGCAGTTGGGCTTGCACAACCAGCTTCGGGCGGGCGGGTCGGAGGGGGGCCGTCGCGGCTCCGGCGTGCCTTGGGTCCGCTGCTTCTGGGTGTCTGCAGGAAGGGCCGGTACAGCTGCTCGGCAGTGCTTCGCCGGTCTCCCCCACGGCAGCGTGTCCTTGGTGTACAGTCCACCCGCATAGTAAGGATGGGCAACCTTCCCAAGGGTACCCTTGCATCCTTGCCCTTCGGCCCATCCTTGCCTGCTCTCGTTGGCCGCGCCCCGCTCGAAAAGCTGCGCCATGGGCGCCCAAGGCCCTTGCGTCCTCATCGCGCATCCTTGTTCCGCGGGTTGGCTGCCCTGTCTCTGCTCCCCGACTCTCCCGGCCGCTCCGAGCGAGCCGACCGCTGGCACCGGGTGGCTTCGCTTCGGCCGGGAGCGGCCCGGCTGCCCTCGGGCTCGCTCGGTGCGGGGCCAGGCCCGCCGGGGCCCTGGGATCGGTGCACGGGCCCCAGAGAGGGCGAGCGGGGGCGCCGACCTGCACCCCGGCGCCCGCGACGTGCTGGCCGGGGCCCCTCGTGATGGGCTTGTTTTTCCACCACCACCAGAAGTTGGAGGGGAGGAGGAGGAGGAGGAGGAGGAGGAGGAGGAGGAGGAGGAGGAGGAGGAGGAGGAGGAGAAGGAGGAGGACAAGGAGGAGGAGGAGGAGGAGAAGGAGGAGGAGGAGGAGCAAGAGGAGGAGGAGGAGGAGGAGGAAGAGGAGGAGGAGGAGGAGGAAGAGGTGGAGGAGGACCCCCTCCCCCTCCAACTTATGGTGGTGGTGGTGGTGGTGGAAAACAGACCCATCACCTCGGGCCTCGGCCGAGTCCCCGTTCCCTCCGAGAGTGGCTTGAGGCCTGGAAAAGCTCGCGTGGCCGCTCGGGAGCAGGCCCTCGCAGAGAGTCACGCCGACTGGGCCGCGCGAAGTTTTGATGTGTGACTGCATGCGCTTGGTAAAGAGGAACAACAAGCGACATACGCATAGACGCCTGGAGGTCCGCGCGGATTTCTCGGATCGGCGCTGGACCCCTCTCCATGGCGCGCGCAGCGCGCCAGGGGCGGCGCCGGAGGCGCTGCGGGGGGGGCCCCAGTGAGGCTCCGAGGGATCCGCGCGGACCTCCGAGTTCATGCCATCGCTTCTTCCCCTACGTTAGCTCGTGTTCACGTTCTGCCTCAAGGGCCCACCAGAGAGACACGAACGGTGCTTGCCCAACTGCGGTGCCCCGCCGTGGGCGCAAGAGGAGCTCCGAGGCCTTTGCTGCCTTCGGCCTCCCGCGGCCCTTTCCGGTGATCCTCGGAGGCCGCGGAGGCGGGGGAACCTTCTGTCAGTCGGGGGTGGACAGGAGCCCCACCCTGACACGTCGATTCGTGAATTGTCCGTTTTCGGTTCTCGAGAGGGCGCCGCGGCCGTCATCTCCCAGGCTTGCGCCCGCCAGGTTTGGGCCCGAGGTCGTTTTCACGAAACCACGTTTTGCGAAAGGGGGTTCTTCCATCCCCGGCTCAGACGGACTGCTCCTGTTCCAGCCGCCGACCAGAAGTCTCGACCCCCCCCTTCTCCGGGGGTAGTTTCCCATCCCGGAGCTGCTCTTCATGGCCCCGGGGGCCGAAACCGGCCCCCCGAGGCCGAAATCGACGAAACGCGCGCGATTGGTTTGAAAAAGCGCAGACCTCAGCAAAGCACCCTCGTAGCAGCAGAGGTGAAGGAGCGGGTCTCGAGGAGCAGGGTGTCGGCCGTGGGGGACAGGGTGAAAGCACGGCCACGTGCACTTTAGTAGTGCGCCTGTTGCAGGGGATCGAGGCCTCCCAGACCAGAAATGCAACTGGCACTGCGGCGAGAAGACGATTCCTGAATTGTTGACGCTTCGCGACGACGCTCCGACGACTCGCGAACCCCCCTGTCCAGGTCCATGGGGAGAGGGTAGGGGGAGGGGTAAACCCCTCCCCGAAGGGGGAAGGAGGAGGTGTGGAATAGGAAGCGCCCTGAACCACCGACGCCCAGAGAGCTGGTGGACTTACTTGTGAGACGTCTCCAGCGAAGCGGCTGCCAAAAGCTTTGGGCGGTCTGGGGCTCCCCGCCCCCTGGGGTGGGACTCTCCTGCTGTGTCTGTTTGCTTTGCCGCTGTTGAGCCCCTTTGACGAAACGCTGCTACTAAGTCGGGCCTTGCCCTCTACAGGAGGAATATTTTTGAAAAGTAGTAACGCAATAGTCTGGGGACGATGTTTAAAAAGTATGGTTGAGCATTCGGGGGGGTATGTTTCGCGTTTTTGTTTTTCGCCCAGAATCCCCCTGTAGGGGGACACGCCCGACTCAACGCTACTATCGGACGGGCACAGAAACGAGATAGACCTGGTTCCAGAGCCTTCTGGAACGCTCTCGGAGCGTTCCAGAGCGCTCTGAAACGGCCGCTGCGCCCGATACATCCTCGAGGCCCGCCGATTCCCAGAGGCTCCTGATCTCCATGATGATCGGATTATGTCTTGAGTCTCCCTTCGTCTTACACTGATCAGGAGCGACAGAAGGACGCACACGTACATGAATCCGCGTTGGTTCCGAGAGTATGCATTGTGCGAATGTTCGTGTCACGCGGACGGTCTCGCGGATCGAGGGGCCGTGTTCGTGTACACGGTTGGGCGCGCACGTCCTCTGTGGGCTCCCTGGCTCAGGGGCAGTCCGCCTGAAGTTCGGGGAGGAGGGCGAGAGACGACCCCGCAAGCCCAGGGCGCCCGCGAGGGCGCGACATTCTGCGCGTGTCGTGCTTCGTGGTTCGGCTGCGACGCCTCCTCGTCCTCCTCTTCTCCCCGGGGGGGGGGGCGGCGCGAGAGCGCGAGGTGATTCTGAAGTCGGGCCTGTCCCTGTACAGGAGGAAGATTCAAACATAGTTTGAGAAATAGGCGGGACGATTGTTTGATCATTTTCAATTTGTCCTCGAAAATCCCCCTGTAGGGGGACAAGCCCGACTTACAGTTCTTCGCGCTTCGCGCAGCGCGAAGCGCGAAGTTTGGCGCTCTTTTTGCCAGCCAGCGGCTGCCCTCGGCTGAGGTGCGCGTGGTGCAGGTGGCCCCGGCGCTGCCGCCGCAGGCGCGGGTGCCGCATACATACAATTTCGTGCCGATTCCGAGGAACAGATGTAACACATGGGAGGAGGAGGAGGAGGAGGAGGAGGAGGAGGAGGAGGAGGACGATGACGAGGACGAGGACGAGGACGAGGACGAGGGGGAGGAGGACGAGGAGGAGGAGGAGGAGGAGGAGGAGGATTATTCCAGAAAGGACGGAACACATGGGACATCCTGGCATCTGTGGCTATTTGTTTGTGCGTCCCTCGGCCCCCCTCAAGTCTGTACAGTCGAGCAGCTGATCAAGGAGCCTCCTCCCCGGGGCTGGCGCTTCTTGGCCAACTGGCCGGAAAGTTGACCCCGCTTCTGTCGTACGGCCGCGCCCTTCGGCGCGAACGGCAGAAACTGGCCCGGACTTGTTTCGAGAAACCGGCTGGCCCAGGAATCTCGAGTGGTAAGTTTCTTGCTCGTATCTTCGGTTATGATTATCCCATTTATTTTTAGCCCTGATCACCAGAGAGAATTTCGAGCACCAGGAAAGTACCGGAACTTGAGGGTTTCCAAGTGTCGGGCCCTGGGGGGGCGGTACTCGTTCGACACTGCTTCGATACCTTTCTGGGTGCTCGATGTTTTTGTTGTTGGATATGATCCTCAAGTACGACAGTGCTTTTTGACCCCCAGCCCGATGCTGAAACACAATGTCACGACAACGCGACTGATGCGAGAACTCCCACAGAAGCACGCGAATCTCCACGAAAGCGCGCCCAACCTCGCGCAAGCGGCCCTCCAGGAGCTCTGGGAGCGGCCTTTGGGGCCAAACGCGCCTTATAGGGCCCCGAGAGGAGCTAGCTCTTCGGAACTCTCTCATGGGGCTGCAGCTTGCATCTTCGGCTGTCTGTGGGGTCCGTCCTGGTGGCCTGCAGCCTTGCGCTCCGCGCCCATCTTCCCCTCCCTTTCTCGTGGCTCTTTTCCCGGCGGCGGGGTCCTGCTCGATTTTTGTTGTTGTTGGATGTGATCCTCAAGCACGACGGCTGCAACTTGCATCTTCGGCTGTCTGTGGGGTCCGTTCTGGGGGCCTGCAGCATTTCAGGAGGGAAAGACACACACAGACACAATCAATCGTCGACCCCCCAGAAAATATGGGAAACTGTGGGAACTGGGGGGGAAGACAAAAACCCAGAACATGTGGGAACATGTGGTGGATATTTTCAGTTGTGTGTATTGATTTGTCCGTCCTGGGGGCCGGCAGTCCTGCGCTCCGCGCCCCATTTTCCCCTTTCCCTTTCCGTGGCTCTTTTTCCCCCGGCGGCGGGCTCCTCGGAGCCCGACCCTCGCCGATCAACGACTCGGGCAGCCCGGCGGGGGGCGGGGGTAGGGCGAAGTCGGGCCTGCCCCTCTACAGTCGGGGCGCTGCAGAAGGAACCCTTTTAGTTGGGGAGGGGCTCCGTGTTCCTCGATTGTGTCACAATTTGTTTTAGGTTGTCCTCAGGTTTTCGATGGGAAGTCGAAGTTCGACGTGTGAAAAACAGGGGCCTCGTTCCTTAACAAAGGGTTCCTTAGGTCAACGCCCCGACTGTACAGGAGGACTATGCAAAGGTGGTCCAAACATAGTCGGGGGACGATGTTTCTAGTATTTTCGATGATTTTGTCTGATGTGTGTTAGTCTTCGTCCAAGATCTCCCTGTAGGAGGACATGCCCGACCTAAGGGCAGGGTTCGGAATGCGTCGGGGACGTGGGGGAAACTGAACCTCGCCTCTCCCATCGACTCAGGAGGATTGGATGGTTGGTGGGGCCATAGTTCGGATGTCGCCATCTGCTTCCTCCCATTCGTCTCGAGACAGGGAGAACGGCATGGGCATTTGACGGTCTGCGCGGCTTTCTCGGATCGGCGTTGGGCCGCCTTGGCGGAGCCTCCAGCGCCGCAGCATCGAACACGCGAGTGGAGCGAGTGGCTCCAGGAAGGGCCCCAGAACGAGCATCGAACACATTCTAGGCCTCAGCAAATGCCCGAGGAGGAGAGCGCAAAGGCACCGACGTCGCTATCCTTGCTTCGCTCTCGCCTTCTGGGGCCTCCCAGGATGCCTGTCGCCGCCCGCTGGACTCGCCTCGAACTCCTGGTCAGGACGCACGCCAGGAGAGGTCCAGGAAGCAGCGGCATCGGTACCTGCCAGGCGTCCCCACAAGTGGTGGGCCCGGAGCGGACGGGGTCGGAGGATCACGCCGCAGACGGTCGAGACGCGGAAATCAGGACCATTTTGGGGCTCAGGATGGGCTCGGGTCTTCGGGCCGTTCCTTGAATCTAGTCAGGAGGGAAAGAAACACACAGACACAATTTATCGTCGATCCCCCAGAAAACATGGGAAAATGTAGGAAGTGGGGGGGAAGACAAAAACCCAGAAAATATGGGAAAATATGGGACATATTCTTATGTGTGTGTATTTATTTGTGTGTTCTGGGGCCCCTTCATCTAGGTCGGGGAAACCATCCGAGGCCGAGGCTCGCCGGGGCCAGAAACGCCCGCGCGTTCCTTCTTCAGCGTCGGTGCTGGCAGCACGATGACTGCACTGCCGATGCGTCGGCGATGCGGCCAGATGTGTAGCCCGATAGCCTCCGCACCGATCTCGCCGGCGCATAGCCGACGCACCGGGGACCCATGGGCGATGCAAAGGCGATGCGGCGCGACCCTCCGACTCCCTCTGCTCGGACCCCACTAAGGACAGCGTTTCGTGGCCCTCCTCCCCCTCCTCGTTGCGTTTCACCCACCCAGTACAGCACTTCGTGGCCCCACAGGGAGCTCCACCGAAGGTCCCACTGGCAACGCCCGCATGCGCCGGCCACCGCCCAGCACAGCCCTTGCTCCCTGCGTTTCACCCACCCAGTACAGCGCTTCGTGGCCCCATAGGGAGAAGGTGGGACGCGGGGCGCTGCTCCAGCTGCAGCGCTGGCCTCATTTCCGTGCTTCCGCTCGTTCCGAATCGCGCTCCCGCTGTAGCATTTTGAAAACGACCCGCCCTCAGTCTGTCGAATTTTTCCAATTTTGAAAAAGAATGCGCGCGGCGCGAATGTGATATCAGCATTTTGAAAGCCACCTGTCGTCAACCTTTGAGGCTGTCGCTAACTGTTAATCTTTAGGGTTTTACGTTGTGAGGGAGTCTCAGGCGAAACGCCAGGCCCGCCCTTCGACCCGCTTCGGGGTGCGACAGGTTATTTAGAAGGACAATGAGTGGAGGAGGAGGAGGAGGAGGAGGAGGAGGAAGAAGAGGAAGAGGAGGAGGAGGAGGAGGAGGAGGAAGAGGAGAAGGAGGAGGAGGAGGAGTAGGAGGAGGGGGAGGAGGAGGGGGTGGCGGAGGGCTTGATCCGCGCCGCAGGGCCACCTCGTGGCCGCGGCCGCGGCGCCGGACGCCCGCCGCGGCGCCGCGGAGCAGTTCTTCGACGGCTACCTGCGCTCGTTGCTGCAGCTCGTCTCGAGCCCAGACGCGTCGGCGGCGGAGGCAGCGTGGAGGACGCAGGCCGGCAGCCGACGAGCCTCAGGGGAGGAAGAGGTACCCATACCGCTACCCTCGCCTCGTTTCCCTTGTGTTGGGTCTTCGTTTTGAAGAGACGTTCCCCGCGTTCCTCTCTTCTCCTCCTTTTCCCACTCCTCCTCCCTCCTCCCTCTTCCATGCGTTTCACCCACCCAGCACAGCGCTTCGTGGCCCCATAGGGAGCTCCACCAAAGCCCCCAATGGCACCGCCCTTGCCCCTTGCGTTTCACCCACCCAGTACAGCGCTTCGTGGCCCCATAGGGGGCCCCACCGACGGTCCCAGTGGCACCGCCCGCATGCGTCCGCCACCACCCAGCACTGCCCTTGCTCCCTGCGTTTCACCCACCCAGTACAACGTTTCGTGGCCCCATAGGGAGCTCCACCGAAGGTCCCAGTGGCACCGCCCGCGTGCGTCCGCCACCACCCAGCACAGCCCTTGCTCCGTGCGTTTCACCCACCCAGTACAGCGTTTCGTGGCCCCATGGGGAGCTCCACCGAAGGTCCCACTGGCACCGCCCGCATGCGTCCGCCACCACCCAGCACAGCCCTTGCTCCCTGCGTTTCACCGACCCAGTACAGCGTTTCGTGGCCCCATAATGGGGGCTCCACCGAAGGTCCCAGTGGCACCGCCCGCATGCGTGCGCCACCACCCAGTACAGCCATTGCCCCTTGCGTTTCACCCACCCAGTACAGCGTTTCGTGGCCCCATAGGGAGCTCCACGGAAGGTTCCAGTGGCACCGCCCGCATGCGTCCGCCACCACCCAACACGGCCCTTGCTCCTTGCGTTTCACCCACCGTTTCGTGGCCCCATAGGGAGCGCCACCGAAGAAGATATTCACAACTGCGGTACTCACAACTGCATATGGTTGGGTCTCTCGGCAGGCTAATTGGGCCTCCTGGGAGTCCTGGGAGGCCGTCGCCGCCGCGGTTGGATTCGCTCCGACATGTTGGTCAGGACGCACCCTCGGAGATTTCTTTGTGGATAGCGGTATCGGTATCTCATGGTTTTTGCCAGAGCTTGGGGGATCGGGCGCTGCTTCGTTGGGGGAAGCAAGAGGAGGAGCAAGAGGAGGAGGAAGAGGAGGAGGACGAGGAGAAGGAGGATGACGAGGAGAAGGAGGAGAGGGAGGGAGGGAGGGAGGGAGGGAGGGAGGGAGGAGGAGGGAGGGCCAGCTTATTCAGGGCCGAGAGCTCCAGGGGGGGACGGCCAAAACTATAGACTTCTCCATCAAGCAGTGACGAAGCGTCCAGAGTGGAGGGAAGACAGAAACCCAGGAAATATGGGAAAATATGGGGAATCTTGTTCTTTGTGTCTATTTATTTGTGTGTCCCTGGGCCCCTTGACAAAGCTTGGGCAGGGAGAAGAATCGGGTCTCCGACAGCATGGTGGTCTCAACCGGCGGTCTCTCCCTGATGTCGGCGCTCGGGGGCACAACGTGCGGGCCCCAGGGCCCGCAAGTGCCGAGCCTGGATGACAAGCTGGCCTTAAGTCGGGCCTGTCCCCCTACGGGGGATTTCCCGACGAAAAATAATAAGATACACCAGAAATAGTCAGAACATATTACAAACATAGTCTGTTTTTTTTTTTTTGTTTTAACCTTTTGGGGTATTTTTGGGGTATTTTTTTTATTTTTCGTCGAAAATCCCCCTGTAGGAGGACACGCCCGACCTAACGCTAGCCCCCCCGGAGGCGGTCGGGCGTCCTGCCGCGGGTTGCAGACATCTGATCGGCGAGTGCCCGGGCCTGGCGCGCCGCCGTTGCGAGGCGCTCGGCGCGCTGCTTCTTCGTTTTCGTCCTCAGGCGGGGTGCTTTCTTCCGCAGCAGGCACGCTGATGGGTGCCCCACGGCCGCGCGTCCGCGATGCTGCTCCTTGAGGAGGGGGAAAGCACGCAGACACAAACGATCGTCGATTCCCAAGAGGGTCTGGGGAATGTTGGAAGTGTGGGGGGGGGGGAGACGAGACTCCAGAACATCTGGAAACATTCGGGGGTCCTGGGCCCAACTCTGCTGCGTGCAGCTGGCGTCGGCCCCGCCGCCTGGCGCGCTCCTTGACACCTGGTCGCTCCCAGCGCCGGGAGACGCCGGGAAAAGGAGCTCATTACTCGAGCCACGGGGAGCGTGTGAGGGAGAGCAGGCGCGATGCGAGTCGAAATGAACTACATAGCACCCCGCAATTGCGGATAAGAGTGAGGGGGCGGGCGCGGGCGACGCTGGCGTCGTCAAGCCGGCGGACCTCGTGGCCCCCACCTTCCTTGTCGATGGCGCTCTCCTCCTCCTCCTCCTCCTCCTCCTCCTCCTCCTCCTCTCCTCCTCCTCCTCCTCCTCCGCCTCCTACTCCTCCTCCTCTTCCTCGTCCTCGTCCTCGTTCTCATCGTCATCGTCGTCCTCCTCCTCCACCTCGTCCTCCTCCTCCTCCTCCTCCTCCGCTTCTTCCTCGTCCTCCCTCTCCCCCCCTCGTCCTTCCATCATCGTCCTCCCATTGTCGTCATGTTCCTCCTCGTCGTCCTCCTCCTCTTCCCCCCCTCCCGATCCTCCACCCTCCTCCTTTTCGTCGTCGTCGTCGTCGTCGACGTCATCGTCGTCGTCCCCTCCCTCCTCCTCCTCCTCCTCCTGCTGCTCCTCCTCCTCCTCCTGCTGCTCCTCCTCCTCCTCCTGCTGCTCCTCCTCCTCCTCCTCCTCCTCCTCCCCCTCCTCGTCCTCCTGCAAAAGCAGCCCGCCGCAGGCGCCGAAAAAATTGGTTTGTACACTGAACGTGGTTTGGGTCGCGGGTGGGCCGCGGGTTCTCCACCGGGAACGAATGCAAAAGATGCTCGCCGCAGGCGCCGAAAAAATTGGTTTGTACCCTGAACGTGGTCGCGGGTGGGCCGCGGTCTCTCCACCTAGAACGATTCAAAAGATGCCCGCCGCAGGCGCCGAAAAATGTGGTTTGTACCCTGAACGTGGTTTGGGTCGCGGGTTGGTCGCGAGTTGATCGCGGGGTGGGTCGCGGGCTCTCCACCTGGAAGGAATGCAAAAAAAGCCCGCCGCAGGCGCCGAAAATGTTGGTTTGTACCTTGAACGTGGTTTGGGTCGAAGGTGGGTCGCGGGTGGGTCGCGGGGTGAGTCGCGGGTGGGTCGCGGGTGGGTCGCGGGTGGGTCGCGGGCGGGTCGCGGGTGGGTCGCGGGGTGGGCCGCGGGCGGGTCGCGGGGTGGGTCGCGGGTGGGTCGCGGGTGGGTCGCGGGGTGGGCCGCGGGGTGGGTCGCGGGGTGGGTCGCGGGTGGGTCGCGGGTGGGTCGCAGGGTGGGTCGCAGGGTGGGTCGCGGGGTGGGTCGCGGGGTGGGTCGCGGGGTGGGTCGCGGGTGGGTCGCGGGTGGGTCGCGGGTGGGTCGCGGGTGGGTCGCGGGGTGGGTCGCGGGTGGGTCGCGGGGCGGGTTGCGGGTGGGACGACGACAACAACAACAACAACAACAACAACAACAACAACAACAACAACAACAACAACAACAACAACAACAACAACAACAACAACAACAACAACAACAACAACAACAACAACAACAACACCAACAACAACAACAACAACACCAACAACAACAACAGCAACAACAGCAGCAGCAGCAGCAGCATCAACAACAACAACAACACCACCACCACCAACAACAACAAGATCATCAACAACAACAACAACAACGACAACAACAACAACATCAGCAACAACAACAACAACAACAACTACAACAACAACAACAACAACACCAACAACAACACCAACAACAACAACAACACCACCAACAACACCAACAACAACAACACCACCACCAACAACACCAACAACAACAACACCACCACCACCAACAACAACAACAACACCAACAACAACAACCACACCAACAACAACAACAACACCAACCAACGAACAACAAACACCAATCAACAAACATCACACAACACACAACATACAACACACAACAACAACAACACGAATCCGCACCGCGGAATCTCACTTCAGCCACACACCCAGGGACAATGAATGACCGTTCGGCCCCCTCACTCTGACTCGGCTCGTTTCGCATTCGTTCGCCTGGGACATTCTTGACCGAGACTCCTGAGGACACAACTGGCAGAATGCCCGCATTTTGAGCAAAACAAGAGCCCCATGGATTGGTGCAGAAGCATTCTATTACTACCATGTACCCAGCCCCCCTTATATGTAAAGACGCCCTCGACGGCAACGCAGACAACCTACAATCAACAGGATCGGGTCTGAAACACTTGGAGGAAATCCACTGGGCCTTGGCAGCCTTATAACAAGAGCTATAGCACATCTTACAACGCTGGCCAGAGTCATCGAGAGCATGACTGGTTGCAAACTGCCTGCGCACAGATGGGGCGGGCGGTGGCTCACGCGCTTCCTCTCTTTTCCCCAGCGGTCCTTCTTTTTGTAACAGTTCACTCTCGGACTCCAGAGCATTGGAACAACTGTTCAGTCCACGTGACCTCAAACTCCGGCTGGTTGGCGGCACCCTGGTTGGCGTCGCTCGCGTCGGAGGCGATGCTCTCTGCCCGCGCCGGCGCTTCGGTGGCCGCCCTCTTAGCCTTCTCGGCCTGCGCCAGAACCTGCGCAGCCTGAATCTCCTTCTCCATCGACAAACTGTCTTGAAGTCTAACAAGTCCCGTGCGAATGCTTGTGATCAGCGTCGCGCCACCCCCCCGTGGCGCGCCTGACCGCCTCCGCCTCCGTGTCAGGGGCAATGATCTCGTGGCTGGGCGCCTGGAGCTTGGCCAGCTCCGCCGAGACCGCCGCCTTGAGCACGGTTGACCCTGTCTTCTCCACCACCTGCTTCAGCGACTTATCAAGGCCGATCTCCTGCTAATGGCTGTCCTTACCTCCGTTCTGTGCCGACTGCGCCCCTTTGCCTCCCTTCTGAGACTGCGACTTGGGGACGTACAGTCGGACCTTACGATTGCACTTGAAGCAGCACATGTTATTCTTGAGTAGGCGA